ATAGGAGGGGGACAGGTGAGAGGAGGAGATCAGGTGAGTGCACAGGTGACTGTAACGGACTGTCTCTTAAAACACTGTCATTCTCGCAGAATCCGAAACCTCACGAACCCCGCGAAGAAGTTCAAGGTGGAGGCGAACGCCAACCAGCTGTACCTGACGGGCACAGTGGTCCTTCACCGGGACGTGAACATCGTGGTGGTGGAGGGAGGTGAGCGGGGGGCTTCTCCCGGCCCAAGGGGGGCCGTGCGGCACGGTGGGCAGGCGGTCAGTCGGTCGGCCAGTGACCAGTGAGTTCATCTCCCCCCCCCGTCTCTCCTTCCCGCAGGTCCCAAAGCGCAGAAGAAGTTCAAACGGCTGATGCTTCACCGGATCAAGTGGGATGAGCAGACAAACTCCAAACGGGATGGTGAGCGGGGGTAGGGGAGAGGGAAGAGGGGGACAGGGGAGAGGAAGTGGGGGAGGGGACGGGAAGAGGGGGACAGGGGAGAGAGGTGAAGGGGCGCTGTGTCTGTGCAGATTGTCCTCGTGCCTCTCGGGTCTCCCTACGGTGTGACCTTGATTGTCGCTCCGTCTCCCTGCAGATGCCGAGGGCTCGGACGAGGAGGGGCTGAAGAAGAAGAATAAGTGCTCTCTGGTCTGGGAGGTGAGTGCCCGTCTGTCCTCCCGTCTGTCCTCCCGTCGGCACCAGACCCGGAGTCCCGGCCTCTCTCATGCCCTGTCCCCTCTCGCAGGGCACGGCCAAGGAGCGCAGCTTCGGGGACATGAAGTTCAAGCAGTGCCCCACGGAGAACATGGCCCGGGAGCACTTCAGGAAGCACGGCACGGAGCACTACTGGGACCTGGCGCTGAGCGAGTCTGTGCTGGAGACCGCCGAGGACTGAGAGCCTGGGACTGCTGGGAGAGAGGGGCTGGCAGACTAGCACTGCTGGGCTGAGAGGAACTGGGAGACTAGGACTGCTGGGCTGAGAGGAACTGGGAGACTAGGACTGCTGGGGGACAGAGAGACTGGGA